GCCTAGGCTGGTCTCAAACTCCAGGGCTCAAGTGATCCTCCTACCCTGGCCTCCCAAAGTGCTGGGATTACAGGCGTGAACCAACGCATCTGGCCCTTATTCTTAAAAACAACAAATTCCATGCACTATATAGCAAAAATACTAATAAAAATGTCTAAGAACTATATTGAAAATCAGCCAAAGTTTACTGAATGGCCTTCAGTTGAGTGAGATATGTCAATTCTCCCATAAATTGATCTATGAATTCAGTGGAATCCCAACTCCATTATACCAGTCCCTGGCCTGTTAGGGATGGGGCAACACAGCAGGAGGTGAGTGGTGGGTGGTGAGCATTACTGCCTGAGCTCTGCCTCCTGTCAAATCAGCCGAGGCATTAGATTCTCATGGAAGTGTGAACCCTACTGCAAACTGCAGATGCGAGGGATCTAGTTTGCACACTCTGTGAGAATCCAATGCCCGATGATCTGAGGTGGAACATTTTTATCCCAGAACCAACACCTCTCCCACCCTCCCCACCCCATCTGTCTGTGGAAAAACTGTCTTCCACAAAACGAGTCCTTGGTGTCAAAAAGTTTGGGGACCATGGCAACTGAAAGCCAAGTAAGATTATTAATGGTATATGGCCAGAAGATTTTGTTTCCCTGGAAGGGAAACTTCCAGAGATAGCTGAGTAAATTTGAAGAAAGATAAACAAGAGGTCAATTTCCTTATCAGATGTCCAAATGTCTTATCAACTTACAGCAGGTAAATCAGTGATGAATTGTAGAAATATCCAAAGAATAGAGAACCCCAGAAACAAATGGTGCACACATGGACAAATAGCTTATCACACAGTTGACTTTTGAAATTCAGTAACAAAACAATAAGATAATAAATCACTGGGGAGAGGCAATTGGCCTTCTATATGAAAGAAATCCTATTAAGCACAATCCCATAGCATAATTAAAATAAATTACAAACGGCTTTAAAAGGCCCACATTAAAAGAAAACTTTTTTTATCAACTCAGGAGGTACTTCCTTATTAAGACATAAAAGTCTACAAGCAAAAAAATTTATGATTTAGGGATTGAACAATATGAACCTTGTTTGTCAAAAAATAACATTACAAATGCATAGTGTACAAGTGTGAGACGGGGAGAAAGTTATTATAACATCTAAAAAAGATGAGTAACACCCAGAACATGTAAAGAGACCCACAAATCAATGCTGAAAAGAGCAAATTTAAAACAATAGTAGAAAGATCAAATAAATACATAATAAAAGATCAAATAAAGTCAGCAAAAGGTAATTCACAGGTGAAATAAATATAAATGACCAAGAAGCAAAGGTAAAAGATGCTTAACTTTAGATATGATACTCAGGGGACTGCAATTAAAATTAAAGAAAAAATGTTTTTCTCTACCACACTGGCAAAAGGCAAATAGCAACCCCTCTGGCACAGGTGTGGGAATGGGCATCCCTGTATGTTATTGGCAGGCAGCAGCACTGCCACAGTTTTGTCAAAGGACTCACGAGTATCTATGGAAACTTAGAAAGCGCTTGTGGTTCGAACCAGCAATTCCAGTGCTAGAAATCTATTCTTCAGAAACGTGTGTACAGGTGCACCAAGACATATGCACACCAGAGTTTGTTGTAGCATGGTTTGTATTTATGGTAGTGATCCATCAGAAGTACAGTGGGAAGGCAGTAGTAGGGGGTGTATCCAGGCCAGATCTGCCTCCCCCAACACGTGTGGCATCAGGAGGCTGCTCACACCCCTGGAGGGTGGCGTGTTCTGCCACATTGAAGGTCAGAGGGAGGTCTCTTCTAGCTCTGACTGGGTCCCACTGATTATAGTTGCGTGCTGTGGGTAGGTTAGTTTCTTCCTACACAAGGGAGATCATCCCCGTGATGGGAACAATAATGACAAAAACAATGATAACGCTTCATCAGATTGTTGCAAGGATTAAATGCAACATCCAGACCATGTTCAAACATTCCCCTATCTTCTTCCTAGGTCCATATCAGAAAAACCAGGGAAATGATCCCTCTGGTCAGGTGGGATGCTCCTTGGAGCTCAGGTTGATGGGAGGAGGGTTAAGCCAGCTCAGCCTGCATCATCATAAAGACTGCTCCTTTCACTTTACCATTACCACAGCCACTACGAGTACCACAAGGAGTCAGTAAGAGGCCCAGCTTCACCTCAGCCTCCAATCCACCCAGAAGATATCACATAGCCTTCAACTCTGCATCCTGTCTCTTGGGCTCTTCTCCAGCCCCACCATTTCCCACCCCTGCTGGGTGCTCAGCCTAGCATGCCCCTCTTCACCCTCTGGAGGCCATCTCTTCTGAGACTCTTCCTCAGCCCCTTTGGGACCCCTGGTCCTCCAGAGACCATTCATGCTGCAGCATTACCACCTGCATGGCGCTGTCTGCACATCACCCTGTCTCTCAGCAAACGCTGACCCTCCCTTTTGTGTTCCAGGCTCTGACATGCATAGCATGTGGATTTAAATTTCAGGAATCCATAGCTAAGGTTTTTTTTTTTTTTTGGAGGGGCCACTGGCAAGACATAGATGCAAACCAGTACAAAACTGTGCCAGCTCCGTGGTGGTTTGTGGGGGACTTGGGAAACCCAGTCTTCTAGCTTGATTTGCAATGCAAACACGAGGTTTCTACCTAGAGGGTATTGTTTAGTGGGGCTGATACAATTACAGGAGGAAGGGTAAAAGTCCCCCAGCTGCCAACTGGGGTGGTCCCTGCTCTGAGGCAAGACTCTGATAGTGACCTTGAATACAGAGGAGGTGACCCCCTCCTTGCTCCCCGCCCTGGTCATCTGCTCCAACAGCTGCTCAAAGTGCATGGGGTATACAGAGGTCTTTCCTCAACAATCTGCGTCATTTGGCCAAGTAGGTGACTAGAATGACCACTGAAAACTCAGAGTGCCAATTTCTAGCTCTCATTACAATGTAATGACATTACAGTGTAATGTTATTTCCTTGAAAGTTTGTGCACAAATTTAATGAACTTATAAAACTTAAACTATCAGAGTCTTGTGGCAAGGAGGCTGGTACAGCCCTGTAACTTCAAATTCTAGCAGCTCTGGGTTGAAGCTACCCCTGCAGGGCTGGGAGCTGGAGGCAGGTGTGGAAGTGGCTCCCCTAGGGGGCTCCTCCCAGGCCAGGTGCCCAGACAGTTTCCCCATCTGAGCTCAGGACCTGGGCTAGCAGGTGCCAAGCCTCCCCAAGAGGAGACTCTCCTCCCTCCTCACCCACACCCCTTCCTGAGCCTCAGGCCCTGAGTGCCATGGTCAGGTGGGCCACTAACCAGGCTGCCTCCATTCCAGCTCCACGTCCCACACCCAAGGGCCTGGCTGGCCATGCTCCATGGAGCATGACAAGGCCATGTGGGGCCCTGGAAAAAGTTTCATCTTCTGAGCCATGTGGACCTGGTTTCAAATCTTGACTCTGTCTCCTTCTAGCTGTGTGACCTCAGACAAGTCACATGCCCCTTCTGAGCCTCGGTATCCTCATCAGTAAGATGGAAATAGTCCAACTTGCTAGGTTCCTTGGAATGCCATGTGGCATAGTAATAACCATTGATATTTGAGTGTTTCTGTGGCTGGCCAGGTCCAGGCTCATTCCACTCATTGCAGTATATCAATCACTGTGACAAAGATTGCAAAAGAGATTTATTCCCCCCAAGGGCACCAAGCGAGGAGAAAGGAGAACAGCTCTAAAATCCTCCTGCTGGAAGATAAGGTTTAGGGGTATTTATAGGTTAGGGGAGTGAAGTGCTCTAAGGCATGGGGAAAGGTGATTGGCAGCGTGGAAATGAAGCAACACATTCATTCTGCACAAGTGCAGTTGGGGTTCATGGCATTTCATAGCACAGTAGACAGAAAACGGCGGTGGTAGCATGACCTGAGGGTGGAGGTTTTGGCTCTTCGATGTCAAAAAGCCACCTCTCAGGCATTTGTGCAGGCCCAGTTGAAGGGTCAGTGGCCTCAGCTGGTTTGAACTGGATGGGAGCTGCCCCAAGTTCCTGAAAAACAATAATGGAAGTGACTGTGACCTTGGTGACTGGTGAATGTTATCTATAAAGTAGCCAGTGAAGGTTGAGTTTCAGCATTCAGTGGTGAGGCCGTCAGCTACCATGGACTTTAGCTTCATTGAAAAAGGAAAAAAAGTAATAAAAAGTAAGTGACCAAAAGCAAGCAGGCCAGGCAGCCCTGATCAAATTAACCCCTTGGTTTCATTTCCTCTTTGCCAGGTATTGTTCTAAGTCCATTGCATGTATTAATTCATACAATCCCATGTCAATCCCATAAGCAGGTACTGTTCTTATCCCTATGTTACAGATGGTGAAACTGAGGCATGCAGAGATTAAAATACATATATATTATATATTACATATATGTGTAATATATACATATTAAATATACACAATATATTGCATAATGTAATATATATGATATGTAATAATGTAACTTATTATGTAATATATATGTTTATATTATACATGTAATATATAACACTTATGTTTTATATATATATATATATATATATATATATATATATATATATATAAAGCTTTCCTTGATGTCCTCTCTGCTCTAAGCAGGGCCAATGGCTTGCCCAGCCTCAGCCCCTGCCTTTGTTAGGCCCTGTGAGCTCTGATGGTGCTCTGGGCTGCTCCAGAGCTCAGGCTGTGAGCTTTTTCCTGACTGTGGCCACCCACACCTACACTGGCTCTGAGCGTACTGCAGAGCCCAGGGCTCCAAGCAGACAGCTCCTGGGAGCGGGCACAAGCCTTCATTTGAGATGGACCAGGAAGCCCAGCCTCCACCTGAGTCTGGGCTGCCTTTCAGATTACAGCTTTGCGTGCAGGTGTGTGTGTGTGTGTGTGTGTGTGTGTGTGTGTGTGTGTGTGTGTGTGTGTGTGTGTATAGGAAGACTAGTGAGAGAAAATGGGATGCAGGCTGAACAAGCTGTGCTCTGAACAACCTCAGCTACCCTCACTGAGAGTTCTGTGGCCCATTTGGCTTTGCTGCACCAAATGCTCTCTTTTTTACCCTAGAATCCTTGGCCATCTGTATCCACTGCCTCTCCCACTCCAGCCAGTTCCACTCAGGAGAGCTGTGATAAGGGGCGACCTTCTTGTGGCACAGCCCCAGGGGCAGCTGCTGGGGTGCAGAGAATCCCAGCTGTCCCTGGGCTGTTTGGCCAGCTAAGCAGCCATCCGTTCGGCTGAATGGTTAAATCCAGGGCTAAAGCTGAAGCTTAAAACTCTGAAAAGCCAAAAAAAAAAAAAAAAAGGAACCTGGGGCCAAGGCGGCTGATCCTGACTTTCTGCTTGAGTCATTTATGCTTTTCAGCTGATTCATTCCATCTGGAGGCTTTGTTCACACGAGGAATTTCCTGGATGGAGGGAGAGCAGGTGGGAACCAAGCATGGGGACTGGGAACAATGGACGAAGTAGCTTTATTGTCTGGACTCACTCTCTCCCTTTCTGCAATTCACACACGCTCACACACCCACACACACACACACACACTCTCTCTCTCTTTATTCACACTGATGCACTGCACACACATACGCCCTGTCTCAGATGCAGCACACTCACACTGCACATGCAGCAGCCCTGCCACAGCCTGGTCCTGGCAGGAAACAGATGGCTGCTCAAATGGGGTACTTGGAAGGGCTTAGATAAAGGTGTGGGCAGGGCTAGTTTTGTCAGGCAGTGCGTCCAGCTCAGGGAACAAGTTGTTGTGGTCTAAAGCAAACACAGCCATTCTGTGCCCTCTGCCAGGGCCTGGCCTACGGGTGTCTGTGTGACCCACAACTGCCCAGTGTCACTCCTGAAGATTGTTGGAGGCTTCCAGGAAACATTTCCTTTGTTCAGAGAAAGAGGGCTACATAAGGACAGAGCCCTTTTTGCACAGAAGAAGGAACAAGCCATAAGTCTCTATGGCCTTCATTGGTGTTAAGTCTCAGGTGCCCAGAAGGTGAAAGTGGTGGAGGCTTGGCACCTTTGACCTAGATTTCAGAGGATGCACTGGAAAGCCTGAGTGCCCAGGCAGAAGCCTGTCACAGGGGTGGAGCCCCCACAGAGAGACTCTGTTTAGGCAGTGCCCAGTGGAAATGTGGGATTGGAACCCCTGCACAGAGTCTCTATTGGGCACTGCCTAGTGGAGCTGTGGGAGCAGGGCCACCATCCTCCAGACAGCAGAATGGTATAGCCACTGGGTGCATGCAACTCCAGCCTGGAAAAACCACAGGCATTTAACTCTCCACCCCTGTGGCTTTGCTGGGCAGAACCCACATGGCTGCCCAAGGCCTTAGGAGCCCACCCATACACCAGTATGCCCAGAATGTGAGACAGGGAGGCAAGGGAGATCGTTCTGGAGCTTTAAGACTGAATGTCTGCCCTGCTGAGTTTCAGACTTGCGTGGGGACTGTTACCCCTTTCTTTTGGCCAATTTCTCCCTTTTGGAATGGAGAATGTTTACCCAATGCCTGTGTGGGAAGTTAAAAAGTTCCTCTTTAAAGTTTCCTTTCTTGTTAAAGAATAAATCATAAGTGTGCTAATAATACTTTGTTAAGCCCTATCCTATGTAGCTGTTAGACATGCCGTCCTTGTACTTTAACCAAGATATCTGTGTTGGGTGTGCTCACGGGCATGTACCAGCTCTCCGTTGCTTTTACCTGTTTGAAAAAATTTTAAGTTGTTAGCCAATCGGGTTTTAGTTTAGATTGTAAGATCTGGCTCCAGCCAATGGATATCAGACATAGCAGTAAGGATGACCCCAAATGCATAAGGGATAAATTTGTCTGTTTTCCTTTGTTTATTGTACTCTTGTGGCAAAATGGCTAGTGAGAGTACCTTTCCTGCAGTCCAGAAAGTAAAAATTGTGTTGCCGAAAGATCCTCCATCTCAGTGCTAATTTTTCTTTGAGGCACCAAACATCTATTTCCAACAGCCTGTATCACCATTGTATCTTGGAAACAAGTAACTTGTTTTTAATTTTACAGGCTCACAGCTGTAAGGAACTTGCCTTGAGCCTAAAATGAGACTTTGGATCTTGGACTTTTGAGTTGGTGCTGGAACAAATTTAGGCTTTTGGGGACTATTAAAAAGAGATGATTGTATTTTGCAGTGTGAGAAGGACATGAGATTTGGAGGACCAGGGAAGGAATGTTACAGTTGGATGTTTGACCCTCTAAATCTTATAGTGAAATCTGATTCCAAATGTTGGAGGTGGGGCTTAATGGGAGGCATTTGGGTCCTGGGGGTGGATTCCTCATGAATAGATTAATGTCCTCCCTGGGGAAGGATGCATGAATTCTCACTCTACTAGCTCCTGAGAGTTCCGCTGAGAGCTGGTTGTTAAAAAGACCCTGGCCCCTCCCTGTCTCTTTCTTGTTTCCATTCTCACCACGTGGTCTCTGCACATGCTGGCTCCCCTTCACCTTCCCTTAAAAGTGGAAGCAAGCCAGGTGCAGTGGCTCACGCCTGTAATCCCAGCACTTTGGGAGGCCAAGGTGGGCAGATCACGTGGTCGAGATCGAGACCATCCCGGCCAACATGGTGAAACCCTGTCTCTACTAAAAAATAAAAAAAAAAATTAGCTGGGCATGGTGGCTCTTGCCTGTAGTCTCAGCTACTTGGGAGGCTGAGGCAGGAGAATCACTTGAACCCGTGAGGCAGAGGTTGCAGTGGGCCGAGATTGCGTCACTACACTCCAGCCTGATGACAGAGGGAGACGCTGTCTCAAAAAACATAAAAATAAAAACAAATAAATAAAAGTGGAACCAGCTTGAGTCCTCACTAGGAGCAGATACTGGTGCTATGCTTCTTATACAGCCTACAGATCCATGAGCCAAATGGACCAACCTCTTTTCTTTATCAATTACCGAGCCTTGAGTATTCCTTTAAAACAACACAAATAGACTAAGGCCACATCATCAACTGTCTCCAGGGCTGCTCCAAAATCCATTTGCTCCCTAAAGCACAGATTGGACTGGATCCCTCCTCTGCTCCAAAAATCAAGACTTCTCTACTGCCTGCCTTAGGGGTCAGGCTTTGTATCTGGTTTTCAAGACCACTATTTTCATGATGCAACCACACTCTCCATAATCCTTCCAACATCCCATGCACGTAGCACTCTTGGCCCTGTCACATCCCCCGCTAGGTCCCCCCATTTCCTTTACCCCATTAGCCCACTGTTCTCTACAAAGGGGTTCTTGATAATGGTCCAGGGGTAATTTGGGGAAGTCCATTTAGGCCTAATCCAACTCAAAAGCACTGATGACTCAGGCAAACCTTTTACTGAAGATTACATAGAGATGAAAGAGGGGGTTGTATTAGTCCTTTGTGTACCTATAAAGGAATACCTGAAACTGGGTAATTTATAAAGAAAAGAGGCTTATTTGGCTTATGGTTATGCAATCTGTACAAAAAAGCACAGTATCTGCTCCTGGGGAGGCCTTGGGAAGTTTCCACTCATGGCAGAGGCAAAGGAAAGCAGATGTCACATAGCAAGAGAGGTACCATAAGAGAGAGGAAGAGGTGCCCGACTCTTTTGAACAACCAGCTCTTGCATGAACCAATAGAGTAAGAACTTATTACCACAGGGAAGGTACCAAGTCCTTCATGAGGGATCTGTCCCTATGACCCAAACACCCCCCACCAGGCCCCACTTCAACACTAGGAGTCACATTTCTTTTTCTTTTTTAAATTTCTTTTTAAATTTTTTATTTACTTGGACTGTTGGGGAACAGGTGGTGTTTGGTTACATGAGTAAGTTCTTTAGTGGTGATTCGTGAGGTTTTGGTACACCCATCACCCGAGCAGTATACCTGCACACAATTCGTAGTCTTTTATCCCTCACCTCCCTCCCACCATTTCCCCGAGTCCCCAAAGTCCATTGTGTCATTCTTATGCCGTTGCATCCTCATAGCTTAGCTCCCACTTGTGAGTGAGAACATATGATGTTTGGTTTTCCATTCCTGAGTTACTTCACTAAGAATAATAGTCTCCAATCTCATCCAGGTCTCTGTGAATGCCATTAATTCATTCCTTTTTATGGCTGAATAGTATTCCATTATATATATGTTTATATGTAATATATATGTGTATGTATGTACACATACATACCTACATACCACAGTTTCTTTATACACTCGTTGATTAATAGGCATTTGGGTTGGTTCCACATTTTTGCAATTGTGAATTGTGTTGCAATAGACATGCATATGCAAGTATCTTTTTCATATAATGACTTCTTTTCCTCTGGGTAAATACCCAGTAGTGGGATTGCTGGATCAATAGTAGTTCTACTTTTAGTTCTTTAAGGAATATCCATGCTGCTTTCCATAGTGGCTGTACTAGTTTACATTCCTACAGCAGTGTAGAAGTGTTTCCTGTTCACTGCATCCACGCCAACATCTATTATATTTTGATTTTTTGATTATGGCCATTCTTACAGGAGTAAAGTGGTATCACACTGTGGTTTCGATTTGCATTTCCTTGATCATTAGTGATGTTGAGCATTTTTTCATATGTTTATTGGCCATTTGTATATCTTCTCTTGAGAATTGTCTGTTCATGTCCTTAGCACCACTTTGATGGGTTTTTTTTCCTTGCTAATTTGTTTGAGTTTGTTGTAGATTCTGGATATTAGTCTTTTGTCAGATGTATAGATTGTGAAGATTTTTTTCCCACTCTGTGGGTTGTCTGTTTACTCTGCTGACTGTTCCTTTTGCCATGCAAGAGCTCTTTAGTTTAATTAAGTCACAGCTATTTATCTTTGTTTTTCTTGCATTTGCTTTTGGGTTCTTGATCATGAAATACTCGCTTAAGCCAATATCTAGAAGAGTTTTTCCAATGTCATCTTCCAGAATTTTTAGTTTCAGGTCTTAAGATTTAAGTCCTTAGCCAGGCATGGTGGCTCACATCTGTAATCCCAGCACTTTGGGATGATGAGGTGGGTAGATCACCTGAGGTCGGGAGTTCCAGACCAGCCTGACCAAAATGAAGAAACTCTGCCTCTACCAAAAATAAAAAAATAGCTGGGCATGGTGGTGCATGCCTGCAATCCCAGCTACTCGGGAGGCTGAGGCAGGACAATTGCTTGAATCCAGGAGGCAGAGGTTGCAGTGAGCCAAGATCATGCTATCGCACTCCAGCCTGGGCAAAAAGAGTGAAACTCCATCTAAAAAAAAAAAAAAAAAAAAAAAATTTAAGT